TAGTGGTAACGTCGGCTGATTGAACGACCGATTTTTTATTTTTCTAAAAAAAACGGCGGGTTTTCTCCCCGTCTATGGCCTGCATATGTGTATGTATGAATGTGAGTTAGGGACCTTAGATTGTATGCCCCTTGAGGGTTAGGGACTTATGTGAATGTACAATGTATATGTAAATTGGTGGTGCTATATAAGTACCTGAAATAAATAAATAAAATAAAAATAAATCATGATGCAATCAAGGTAAAAAGAGAATCAACTTCTCTCCAGGTTCCATCACCCCAGGAGCTCCAAAATGCCCAGGTGGCTCTATTACGCAAATTGCAGCTACAGCTTGAATGATTGCACTGCAACCTGTCCTCCGAAACTCTCTCCTGGTCACTAAATTTTATTAGGTGGTCTCTCTGGCAGTTAAGAAGGTATGGGGATGATATGTGCCAGGCCAGAGAACAGTCATGCAGGCTGTGTTTGCAATTTGCACAACACAGAGCACCAGGTTTTCATGGTTCCAGAAAACTCTGGAAGTTGAGCAAATGGCCTGACATCTGGAGGTTCTCTACAATCTGCCAGCTAGTTCACCATAATAAAACAATCCACAGGTTTGCTTTAGGTTATGAGTCGTCAACACACCAAACCCCAAGCCTGTCCTTTTTTCTTCAAGCTGGAATGTTGGCAACCCTAAACCCAGCTGTGATTTCCCAATAACAATTTCACTGATGACAACAAGACAGTAATTATAAATACGTGACTCGTTAAATGATGATTCTGGCTAGAAGACAATGTTTAATGATACATATAAAATAAATAAGCTTTAGGCTGCGATACACCCTAGCTATTGTGCTGTGTAAGAATGGAGGCTAATAATCTGTCTTTTTATACCTAAAAGGTCATTTGCTTCACCTGTACTGATACAGCAACTGCATAAAAAAGTGACCACCATACCTGCTTGATGCAGCATAAAATCTGTACGCTTATATATATAAATAATAGAATATCCATAAAAATTCTCTGTGAATTTTAAACCCTAAATTGGAAGTTCAGGCAAAACCTAAGCAAAGGTAAACCTATTTCCTCGCCCATTCTAAGTCTATTCTATCTAACCTTGAAAAGAAAAGATCTATATACTTACCTATTTTGAAGCAGCTGCTCCAGTCTGGTCTCCAGTGGTGGTTTCCATGTAGAGAAGAGATCGCCAACAATGGTTGGAAATGCCTGGAAGATGACGTCACCTATAGACAGCTATGGGGAATCTGTCTTCTGCTGCCCCTCCTCTACATAGAAGCCACCACTGATTGCTGATCATTGGACTTGACTGGAGCGGATTCAATATAGGTAAGTATAGGGATCTTTTCTTTACAGTGTTAGATAGAACAGACTTAGAATGGGGGGAGGGGGGTGGAAGTAGGTTTAGCCCAAGTTAGGGTTTGCCTAAACTTCTACTCTAACTCTAGCCAGGGACCGCCACCCTTAGATAGCTATATCCTTGTTAGAAATTCTGTATATAGCCCTACAGAACAGACAGTGCACAGTCCACATGTGATTTTCTGCGTCACTGTAACAAAGAAACAGGAAACTTTTTTCAGAGAAAAGACATAGAGTATTCCATAGATGGAGCTACATACCTACAATTGTGCTCAAAAGTTTGCTTACCCTTTTAGAAAACGTGAAATTTTAGTATTGATATTGAAAATATGACTGATCATGCCAAAAAAACTGTCTTTTAGTTAATCGCCTCCCACCCGCCATATAAGGTAATGATGGGAGCAAGGCGGTTCTCTCGTTCTGGGAGGACGTCATAGAATATCCTCCCACTCTAATCCCACGTGCGTGGCTCCGGGAGCGTGCAGCGCGGCGATCGGTGGTGCGCTGTGTAACTCACCGATCAACGGAAAGAGCCAAAGATGTCGGCTCGGTCATGTGATCAGCTGTGTCCAATCACAGATGATCACATGTAAATAGGGAAATGCTGGTTATTGGCATTTCTCTCCTCACGAGCTGTCACGCTGACAGGAGAGGAGAGTCGATAATCGGCATTCCTCAGAGGGGACATGTACACTGATCATCAGGGCACTGATGATCAGTGTGCCCTGATGACCTGTGTAGCCCCAGTAGTGCCACCTGTCAGTGTCCATCAATGCCAGCTGTCAGTGCTCATCAATGCCACCTGCCAGTGCCCATCAGTGCCTCATCAATGCCACATATCAGTGCCTACCAGTGCACATCAATGCCACATACCAGTGCCCATCTGAGCTGTCTTTCAGTGTCACCTATCAGTGCCAGTCAGTGCCACCTATCAATGCCAGTCAGTGCCACCTATCAGTGCTGCCAGTCAGTGTTGCATATCAGTGCCAGTCAGTGCCACCTATCAGTGCCGCCTAACAGTGCCAGTCAGTGCCACCTAACAGTGCCAGTCAGCACCGCCTCTCAGTGCCAGTCAGTGCTGCCTATCAGTGCCACCTATCAGTGCCATATATGAGTGCTGCCTTTCAGTGCCCATCAGTGATACCTGTCAATGCCGATCAGTGCCACCTATCAGTGCCCATCAGTGCAGCCTGTTAGTGCCCATCACTGCAGCCTCATTAGCACACATCAGTGAAGGAGAAAAATCACTTATTTACAAAATTTTATAACAAAAACTAAGAAAAAACTTTTGTTTTCAAAATTTTCAGTTGTTTTTGGTTTGTTTAGCAAAAAATAAAAAACCCAGAAGTGATTAAATAATACCAAAAGAAAGCTCTATCTGTCTCAAAGAAATTATAACAATTTCATATGGGTACAGAGTTGCATGACCACGCAATTGTCATTCAAAGTGCGACAGTGCTGAAAGCTGAAAACTGGCCTGGGCAGGAAGGGGGTATAAGTGCCTGGTATGCAAGTGGTTAAAGGATAAGTTCATCTTTTGGACAAAAATAATAAATGCACATTTTTTTGCAGTTACAAAAATGTGAATTTATTATTTTTTTGTCCAAAGGAGCCTGTAAACCATTGCTCCAGCGATCAGCAGATCACTGATTCCATGCCACTCTCCTGTAGGCCTGTGAGAATATTTGTGGTCATAATTGCCTCCCCCCAGTATGCTGTTGTGCATACCTGGACTAATCATGCATCTCCTTTCCTTGAGTCAATTTTTCCATTGGACCACAAAGATCTGAATTAATTAAGTCCAGAGTTTGTTTTAGCTCTGCTGTTACTCTGTTTTGGACTCTTTAGGTCTTGGATGGATTTTAAAGGGAACCCAATGGCAAAAAAAAAAAAAACAGCAAGGGGTCCCCCCCCAAAATCCATACCACACCTTTATTCAAGCATGCAGCTCGGCAGGCCAGTTAACCATACCAGGCCACATGCCTTTAACATGGGGGGTGCCCCCCGAAAGCACTTTGTCGCCATATTGATGGGGACTAAGGCCTCTTTCCCACAACCCTGGGCTGTGGTTGTGGGGGTCTGTGGCCACAGGGGCTTATCAGATCTGGCCCCCAGATCTGCCCCCCACTTCACCAAAAAAAGTATAAAAGGTGAGTAAAAACACAACAATTTTTGACAAGTCATTTATTTAAAAAAAAAAAAACAAATAAATGTCCCCCTAAGTAGATCCAACATTATTTACCATGAACTCTGGCTGCCAACACAGAGAAAAAAAAAAGAGCTCCGGACCCAACAAAGGCTCCCGCCATCTGACAGCTCAGCTGTCTGACAGTCCTTAAATAACTAACGGGTAGGGCCACCCCATGATGTCACAGGGTAACCCTGCCCCTTTGTAAGGTCATCGACTCAGCATGTCCCGATCGATGATGTCATTGCACGCAATTACCACTTGGCCCCATTCCATCTAATTTTTGCTCTGAATATAAAACAATTTTTTACTTGTGAGCCAATAAGGTGTATAATAAACAGGTTCTATCAATAAGATCGCAGGCTATCTTTCTCACCCTCATAAATGTGAGTTATCATTGCATACAAATGAAGAAAATAGAGATGCCACGCTCTATCAAGACCTATTACCTGTATATAGTATAAAAAACTGTATTTGCATTAAATCTCTAATAGCTGCATGATCTCTTATGTGTAACCATACATGATTGTAATGCCAATCAATACCCAAACATGTGTTAATAGTGAATAAATGAATAAGAAAAATATATAACAAAGGTGGTGATAAATAAAAAAAAAAAAAATTAAAGTCTGTGTAAAACGATTCAAATTTGTGTCCTTCGATGATTAAATAAATAATCCAATTAATAAATAAATATCAAAAATAAAAATTGAGAAATATGGAAAATAAATAAAAGGTAAAAATTCAATGAATTTTGTGCAAAACGCAAAACAAACTTGGTGCAGAGTTCAGCAGGGATGAAATATCTGTGTGCTCTCCTTCCAATCAGCATGAGATGATGCAGGTGAAGGTTGCAGATAGAGGGCTACTATGTAAGCCTGAATGGTCATATGGATCTCTCCCTCCTCAGATCTTTCCTTGATCCAGCCCTTTAAGTATTCCTCATACCGATCATGTAAATAGAAAAAAGTGCATAGTGCTTTATCGTTGATAAAAATAAACACTTTAATATGCGCTCAATATGCACTCACATTGATTAAAAACAATCTGCACTTTGTATAATAGCCGCTTAAAGCGGTGAAGACCAGCCTTTCGGGTGTGCTCGCATACACTACCAGTGCTCGCCGTGTAAGGATGCGTGGTGATGTCACTGCCCCTCCCCAACGCATATCTCCACAGGGATTCGTGACTTCGTCAGGGAGATGTAGTATCTACAAATCCCTGTGGAGATACGCGTTGGGGAGTGCATATTGAGCGCATATTAAAGTGTTTATTTTTATCAACGATATAAAGCACTATGCACTTTTTTCTATTTACATGATCCGTATGAGGAATACTTAAAGGGCTGGATCAAGGAAAGATCTGAGGAGGGAGAGATCCATATGACCATTCAGGCTTACATAGTAGCCCTCTATCTGCAACCTTCACCTGCATCATCTCAGGTTGATGGAAAGGAGAGCACACAGATATTTCATCCCTGCTGAACTCTGCACCGAGTTTGTTTTGCGTTTTTGCATAAAATTCATTGAATTTTTACCTTTTATTTATTTTCCATATTTCTCAATTTTTATTTTTGATATTTATTTATTAATTGGATTATTTATTTAATCATCGAAGGACACAAATTTGAATAATTTCGCACAGACTTTAATTTTTTTTTTGTTTATTACCAACTTTGTTATATATTTTTCTTATTCATTTATTCATTATTATCAACACATGTTTGGGTATTGATTGGAATTACAATCATGTATGGTTACACATAAGAGATCATGCAGCTATTAGAGATTTAATGTAAATACAGTTTTTATACTATATACAGGTAATAGGTCTTGATAGAGCGCAGCATCTATATTTTCTTCATTCATTTTTGCTCTGGCCATGAAGCTGTGCATCAGGCCATGGCATGTGTACAAGGAGCATCTCCTTGTTAAAGTGGATGGTCAGGGGTGATAAAAAAAATGCTCCAACCACTTGCTTTTGCCACCCCCCCATCCACCCATGTGATTGAACTCTAAGGCCTTTTAGTTGGGGGGGCAGTAAAAACAAAGGCAGCAGTATAGGGTCCTGAGGCACCCTTTAAAATATCGACAGTCTTGAGACACCCCATTCTAAAATGGGGTGCCTCTAAACTGTCCATATTTTAAAAGGGCACCCCATTCTAAAATATGAAAAACTATTCTAATAGTTTTATATAAACGCAGCAACATCCACACATGTAGGACACCCAACAATAGAGGTGATTTATTCTTCCAAAGGAAATACACTTTTGCACACTGGTACTGACTAGTATTCCAATGTTTCTCTACTCCCTCAGTTTTTCTCCATCGCTGAGCTAACATGACCCCAGCACTGATGGAGAGGGGCAGGGAGGGTCAAACTAGGATGCCTTGCAGGCAGATGACATCCACCTTAGCAACTGATGACACCATTGGTTGTCAGGACGCCGGCAGCTTCAAGGTCATAATGGTGCACAATAAAAACCTGTGGCTTTGTGTAACTAAAAAGGCAGATTTGTTCCACCCGCTGGCTTGTATACACGTTTTGGTACATTTTTAGACATTTTGCCAAGGCACCCCTAAAGAAACCTCAAGGAACCCCAGGGTGCCTGAGCACCCTGGTTGAGAAAGGCTGGTCTAGTGCACCTGCCCTCAGCACCTGGGGCATGACCCCCTTTTGCCCTCCCATCATCCTGGCCTGACTAACTCATGTAGACTTCAGCTCCGCAACATCTCCAAGATATGTCCGTTCCTAACCCCGGAAACCACTAAGCAGCATCTCATTCACTCCCTTATTATTTCACAACTTGACTACTGTAACTCCCTCCTCCTCGGCTTACCTCACCGCAAGCTATCCCCACTTCAGTCCATCTTGAATGCTGCAGCCAGACTCATCCACCTCACAAACCACTCCGTATCCGCCACCCCCCTCTGCCAATCCCTCCACTGGCTTCCAATTGCCCAACGGATAAAATTCAAAATGCTAACATTGACGTACAAAGCTGTTCAAAATACTGCCCCAAACTACACCACCGATCTGGTATCCAAATACCACCCAAAACGTACTCTCCGCTCCTCACAAGACCTCTTACTCTCTGGTCTCCTCCTCCCATGCCCACCTCCAGGACTTCTCCAGGGCTTCCCCCATCCTCTGGAACTCCCTACCCCAATCCATCAGACTATCACCTACTCTCCTCACTTTTAGGCGCACCCCGAAAACCTATCTCTTCAGGGAAGCCTACCCCACCCTCAGCTAATTACTGAACTCCTCCACTCTTCCTACCACTCCATCCCCCACAGTTGCTTCCTCCTGTACCACTATCCCCTCCCTCCTAGATTGAAAGCTCCAAGGAGCAGGGCCCTCGAACCCCTCGTATATTGAATCGTATTGTTACTGTACTGTCTCATGTATTGTCTCCCATTATAATGTAAAGCGCTGAGCAAACTATTGGCGCTATATAAATCCTGTATAATAATAATAATAATATAATATATATGTAAAGCGCTGCGTAAATTGACAACGCTATATAAGTACCTGAAATAAATAAATAATAAAATGGCTATCCTTAGGTGACAACAAATGAAGCATATACACGCATTTCAAAAATACAGAGCTGTTCACATTTTTAGAGTAGGTGTTTCAAGATGCTACATGCGTTTTGGTCGCCGTCATTTCCATTAAGGGTTAATAACCAAATCCCACCAGCTTCTCCCAAACTGAAAGAGATCAAACTGTGTGTATCCAATCTAGATAAATATATATATAATATGCACACACAACACTTGGCCTTTGAACCCTGTCTGTAAACACAAAGTGTGGAGTGCCGGAGATCGGCCTGGCAAATAGCAGCCACATATACAGACACGGCATAGCACAGTATACAATGGAGTCCTCCTCCTCCGCATCAATTCTGCTTCAAATATCTCACCTTATCCCATAAACCAGCATGTTCCTTTCTTATACTAGATCTCCTGTCCATATGGCTCATTGAGGGATGGTGTGTAAATGCCAGGGTGTTATGGTATGTCAAGAT